ATGTAAACAACACTCTACCCAGCAATGCATAAAAGCTCCCATATATTCGCAAGAAAAGGTGTGTTACACCAACCACCCAGCAATGGACAAGAGGCACACAGAGGCATTTCACAAAACAGGAATCATATACATAAAACCTGATTAATAAGCAGGGAAATGGGAAGGGAAGACTGGAAGGCAGTACCGTTTGACACCTACCCGATTGGCATAATGTTTAGGTGTGTGGATAAAGACGTACGCCAAGCAGAGCACGTGCATATAGTTACTGGGTGCATAATTTGGGACCAGTGTTTGGAATGCAATTTGGCCATCACTTGAAGGTGACTGCCTCATCCCACGGGTGACTTAGAGAGCCCTCCTCCAGCCAGACATGCAGAGCAGTTTTCACAAAGATTTCTGAGATTATCGGAGGCCTTCTGACAACTGTGCTGATGTGAAGCCGCTGGTTCCCTTTGACACGCACTATTCTCTTCAGTAAGTGTGATCTGTGTTGCACTCTTATACCCCTTTTTCCTTGCTCTTTATGCCCAGGCTGCCAATTTTTCAAGTCTTTCTGTGTTTGTCCGTTCACTCCTGAATCTCACTGTAACTCTGACTGAAAACAGCTGATAACACACCCATCCCACACCCCGAATGCTGCATCATATTGAAATCTAGTTCAATAAATAAACTTCATGTCATTCTTTCATTTTTTAAAATTAAAAAAAATTTTTTTTGGTTTTTTGAGATGGGGTCTCATAACGTAGTCCAGGCTGGCCTTGAACTTGCAGTCCTCCTGCCTCAGCCTCTTGAGTGCTGGGATTATAGGAGTACACTGCCCAAACTGGTTTAGTCCGTCATTCTTCTCCCTCTCCCTCTCCCTCTCTCTCTTTGAGACAGGGTCTCACTGTGTAATTCATGCTGGCCTTGAGCTCTGAGCAATCCCCCTGCCTCAGCCTCCTGAGTGCTGGGATTACAGGCGTGCACCACCGTGCCCATTTTAGTCCACCATTTTTAAACTCAGCCTTCTGCCAAGTCTCAGGGCATGGACGCAATGCACCTAAGGTCTTTGCCACAAAGTATCAGGAGCAGCCTTTAGTCCAATTTCCAACAGAGTCCTCATTTCCATTTGAAATCTTGACTGCCCCATTTCTACCACCATATTTCTCCTCAGTTAGTCTCTAAGCCAACTAGCTTTTTCCTCTGAGCTCTCCTCAGAATGCCCATAGTGACTACATGTAGCACTCCAGGCTGGCCCCCCAAATCCTTCCTTCTTCTGCCAGCCATCCAGTTCCAAAGTCACTTTCACATTTCTAGGTATGGTATAGTAATGGCCCTACTCTAAGTACCAGTTTCCTATATTAGCCCATGGTCCGTAACTATAATGAAATACTTGAAGCAAGATACTTCTGTAAAGAGGTTTATTCTGCAGGTACAAGGACCAGGGGCCACATCTATTATGGCCTCCTTGGTGGGAGAGTTCTGAGGCTGTGCAGGGCATTGCATGGGGAGAGACAGGACAAGAGCATCTGTATGGTCTCTCTCCCTGTTCTCATAAAGCCGCCAGAGTCCAACCGTGGGGCTCTACCCCAGTGACCTTCTCTAATCCTAATCACCTCCCAAAGGCCTCACCTCTCACATCAGATTAAGTTTCCACCCTCATAATCCCTCACAATGGGGGTTAAACTCCAGCACATGAAGCCCTGGGGGACACAGAAATCACAGCACCACACATCGTCTCTGGTCCAGGAATTGGCTCGACACTTGCGGACATAAGACCAGGAGGAGGTGTTGTGGATTTCACTGGGGTTGATATTTATCCTGTAACTCAAAGGAGGCCACCCTGTGGGAAGCTGGGCTGGTTTGTCAGGTATCACTTAGCACCACAGTGTGAGAAACTGCCACAAGATTGAGGGGTTTTCTACCAATATATAGCCTTAGCCATAGCCAGGGGAGTGGTGCCGTTCCTCAAACCAGAACCCACAGGATGGGGGCCTGAAGGATGAAATTAGGGGCGGCAATCCTTATGATTATAGCTCATGAGCCATTCTTAAAAATTTTGCTTCTTGGCCCTGATAGATGCTGCTCTCCTGGGTTGGAGCGCTTAGTAGCCAACAAAGAAATGTTTCTATTAGAGAACAAAATTATCATATGGTGTTGGAAGTTAAGGGTGCACATGACCATTCTGGGCTCCTTCACCGCTGAGTTAAGAGAACATACAGGGCCCTTGGTGATGGTGAGGTGACCCTAACAAGAGGACATAGGGAGGCTGCTGCTCAACATGGGGGTGCTTAGGTGGCCCCAGGGTCTGTCCTCACCCCCACCCAATTGGTGATAAGCTTTGGTGGAAGGCAGAGTTGGGGAACATGGAGTCCATGTGGAGGAGGAAGGTCATGAACACAGCTATGTCATGGTGACAGCCACAGAGATGAGCGTTCTGCCTAGCCAACATCTGTGGGAATTTCTCTTTGTGTTGTGTTGTATAAATTTTACAGACTTTATCCCACTTCCTTTTCTTCTATCTCTTTCCACATGTGAGATGTGTTGCTGGTGCTTCTTTAACATTCATTCCATAGTTTGTAGTATAGTGAGACGACCGGAGGAGGAACATCCATCACTGGGGCTCAGGACATCATCCTTTGGGGACAAGTTCTGTCCATTTTTGGCGGGGGGGGGGGTGGCATTATAGGAGGTGAGAGCTTTCTTTGGGAAGTTTGGGGGTAGGGGAAAGGAGATGTGTGTGTGTCAGCAAAGCAAGGGTGGTGTAGTGGGCCTTTGTCACTTTGTGGCAGCCCATCATAGGCGAGTTCTTAGTTTGGAAACCCCTACCTCCACCCCCTGGTTGGTCTGGTGGAAGCAGGGTCCATCTTACTCTATGGAAGCTCTTGTCAACTGCCTTGGGGCATCAGCCTAGGCTGGGCCACCATGGTGTCCTCAGCTTTTAGGAGTTTGAGGAAATTGTGCAAACATTCAGAGATGAGACAGCTCATTATTGAGGTGGTTTGACTGTCCAGGGAGAATATTGTAGGAGACAGGATTTCTAAATCCCTGCTCTAAACTCTTGGAACAAGTGACTGTGAGACCATTGTAAATATGATAAGATTTCTCTTTCAGAATTTCTGACCTTGTTACAATTTGAATGACTCTGGAGAACTTAATGCTGAGTAAAATGAGCCAGTTACAGAAGGACAAATCCTGTAGGATTCCACTCATAGGAGAGCCTCTAGGGAGAGTTGTAGGATTTGAGGGAAAAGAGAAAGTTCTAGAGATGGACAGTGGTGGCCGCTGTACAATAGTGTGAATGTGCTTAATGCCCCTGACCTGTGCAATTAAAAATGGGTTATGATGGTAAATGTTCAGTTATGTTTATAGTACCACGATTTAAAAGAAAAGATTCTCCTTCAGATAGGAGGTTATTTGACTGGGTCTGAACTTTTCTTGGGGTCTTACAAGAAGAGAGCTCTTCCAGCTGGCAGAAATCAGAGAACCTGAACCTCCCACAGAGACACTTCAGCCTACCCCCTTTGGTCTGAAGGTGGAGGGGACACAGGGAGGAATGGGGTGACTTCAAGGAGCAGAAAGAGACCCTTGCTGGCAGCCAGCACATAATATGTGACAGTAGGCTTGCAACTCCAAGAAACTGGATTCTCATGAGTGGAGAAACTGCCCAACCCACCTGGACTCTGACCCAGAGACTAACGGTGAATGGGTGCGGCTCTAAGACACCACGTGTGTGCTATTTGTCACAAAAAAGAGAGCAAGTGTGGGGACATCAGATGGTGACAGTAATCAGCCAGCATCCTAACCAGTGCTGACCTGCTCTTCAGCCTATCTCCCTCACCCCATCCCGTTCCACACAGGCTGACATCTACTCTACAGGGAGCCCATGTGTCTGGTGAGTCTTTTCCCCTTCCTGGGCCCCTCCATGTGGAGGACAACTCCCTTAAGTCTCTCGAGGTCCACTGCCTGGTAGGTGTCTTCACCTCTGTGGGTAGATAGGTGGCTGGAACACAGCATCAGTCTCCCAGGGCTGATGAGGACCAGCAAAGTGTCCTCTGGGGTCCTAATGGACAGCAACAGTCTCTGCTTCAGAGGAGTGTCGAGGTATAGGCCTCTCCCTGGGAATGTCTGAAGAGACTGGGTTCCTGAGGCTGGCAGCCACGGGCTCTGAGAAGCAGAGGGTTTGTTAAGGCTCTTCTAGGATGTTCTAGGGAAGATGGTGAATGGGTTCCAGAACACTCTAAATGTGACTGCAAAGCTGTCAAACAATTCTCTGGAGGGTCACAAGCGCAAAGACCTGAGTTCTATCCTCAGTACCAAAACCAAAACAAAGCAAAAGCAATTCTCTGGAGGAGCTTACAAGGCTATCTCAGAATGTTCTAGAGGGATCTGGGAGGTTGCTGTATAATGTTCTAGAATAGACTGTGAGCTATTGTAGTACATTTTAGAGCTGACCATGAAGCTATTACAGAACTTTCTAGAACAGACTGTGAGGCAACTGTAGAATGTTCTAGAAGGGACTGCAAGTCTATCACAGAATGTTCTGGAGGGGATGGTGAGGCTGTTTCTAAATACAGAGGGAAGGCAGGATGCCAGGGGAGGGAGGGCCCAGGCAGCCAGGGGTGGGCGAAGTGATTGGCCTGTGAGCCATGGGAGCAGGAGGTTCTTCTTGGCTTCTGCTTCTGGGTCCTTCCTGCCCTGCACACAGGGAACTCTAGCATTCCCCAAAATTGAGGACCCTGGCCTGAGCTACAGTTTGGGACCCAAGCCTTCCTCTCTCTATGCTGGTGTCACTGGGGATGGCAGGCATAATGGCAGGCCTAAGCAGGAACTACAGCCAGTAGAGTGGAATATATGCTGGTCTGTTCCCTCCTTGTGGCCAGATATTCCAAGGTATTCCTTGGCCCAAGGGAATTGCCTCCTGGGCAGAGGAGATACCTCAGCAACTGAGGTGCACACGCAGGGCACTGTGGGGCTGTAGACCTCTGGGGAGACTTGGATGGATGGGGCTGGGGGCCTACCGTGGGGTCACCGTGTATGTGCCTTTGCGGTCCAAGTTGTAGCCGGAGAGGATGGCAAACCAGAGAAAAGAGCTGAGCAGCATGGAATATACCTAGGGAGGGAGGAGGCCAGAGAGCCTCAACCATCAGCAGCAACTCCAGGGTTGGAGTCTCACTCCATCCTGGGAAGTTTCTGGACTTTTTGGAGTTGGGAAGGGCCTAGCTGCTTTGGGAAAGGAGTGAGACAGACACTGTCACCCTGGGCCACCTCCCTGGGTCAGTAGCTGGCTCTTCCCTGTTCCACAGGCTGAGAGAACCCTGGCGATGCCCTAGACCAGAGGTCCTGGCTTGGGGCTGTAGCCTAAGGGCTGTCCCACCTGACCTTCCATTAGGTTGGGGGTGAGGGGGCAGTGGGCAAAGGGGGAGCGGGCAGGGGAAGTGAGGAAGGGTTTAGGGTACCGTGAGAGCCAGGCCAGCACTGCTTAGCATAGAGATGATGTTTTGGTGGGTTCTCAGGAAGCTCTGGATGCTCTGCAGGCAGTCCTAGGCAGAGGGCATTATGCATGTCACCACCTTGTGGCCCCTCCCTTCCAGAGGCAAGTGGCTTCTGAGGAGCTGCAGAGCCCAGAGAGCTCTGGGATACAGTGTCATGGAAAGGTGAGACCAAAGGGCATGGAGCTAGCCTCTGCAGGGATCAAGGGGCCACTGCCCTGGGGTCAGGCTGGTGCTTCCTCCCAGTTTGCCCGATGCCTGAAGCTCCTGCATTGGGCCAGACCAAGGTCAAGGCTAAGGCCAACCAACACTTCAGTGCCCAGAGGGTACTGGCTAAGGAGGAGGGCAGGGGAACAGTGGAGGAAAGGCAAAGTGCCCCCTATATGTCTCAAGGTCCTGGTTCCATCTGGACCTCCAATGCCACCCCAGGGTATGGCAGAAAGAGGGAGGTAACAGCTTGTCTCTGAGCCTTAAGATGGTATCATTTAGTTTTGGGGCAGGTTGTTGGCATTTCTTGGAGGCTGAGGAAGGGCTGGGCCATATGGACATCCAGGGAGTCACTCTGCTCTTCTATGGACAAATTGTCCTCTTGTCCCATGGCTGCCAGCCTGTGCTGGCTTTCCCTCCAGGGACCTTTACAGCCTGGTCATGCCTCCCTGCTCCTCTGGGATATATGGGGCAGACCCAGCCCTGGTTTTGCAGTTAGGACCCAGAACTGGCCCTGCAGGGACTGGGCTCCCTAACACTCCGCCCCTCTGGTCCTTGGAGTGGGTGCTGTGGCTCCCTCCCCCGCTGGGCCTCCAGCCATCCCCATCCTCCTCTGTTTCTTGGAGGGTTGCCAGGCACCTCAAGCCATGAGATAGGGCGGGTTTGTTTCCAGGACATGGGGGAGGTGCAGGAGGGGGCTGGGCAGCAGCAGCAGAGACCAGAGGGAGGATGAGTCCAGGTCCAGGCTTTGAGAGGATGGGCCAAAGCCTTCCCCGCCAGCCCCACCGCTCCTGTGGAGTGCTATTCTGCTCCTTCTGGGGCTCCTTGGGACACCTGTCCCTTCTCCCCAGACAGAGCTGACCACCGTGCTCTCAGGGTTCTTGGCACTGAGAACCTGTCTGTGAGCTTCTAGAAGTTTCTGAGGGTAGCTCTCTGGCTGGGGGAGTGAGTGGAGCATGCATCTTGTATCCATGTCTGCTGGACACCATGGGCTGCACAAGAGAAGCCTTCCTGTCTTCCCTGAGCCCTTCTGTAGCAGGTCTCTTGGTGGGGAGGCCAAGGGGTACAGGATGTCCCTGGATCTCAGGCTTATCCCCAGGGCCCTTGCCTGGCTTTGTCCTGGTCCCCTCCTCCCCTCCCCTCCTCACCTCTCTTGCTGCCTCCTCACCCTGACACAGGTCAGCTTCAGAGCGCTCCAGAATTCCAAAAGGAGATCTCTTCCCACAGCACAGAAACTACAAGACAGACACAGAGGGTCATTAGAAGGGAGCAGGACAGATGGGGAAAAATGAGGCACCGGGAAGATAAATGAACTAGGTAGGTCCTGCTGAACTGGGCCCCCTTGGGGTATCAAAGCTGATTCTGCCACCGCCAACAGCAGCCTAGCCCTCCAGGAGAGTAGCCTGACTTCTGGTGTGACCTTGCTTGGGACTTGGGGCTGGCAATCCTCTTACAATGGGGCCTGTGTAAGGAGGATGGAAAGATCTCTTTTTTTGTAATGCTGCTCTCACTGTCTTGAAATTCTTAATAGCCTTTTTTTTTTTTAAGGTCCCACAGGTCTATTTGCACTGGTCCCAAACATTCAGCAGCCAGCCCTATTCCCAGCAGAGTTCTCCACAGGCAGGCATTCCTTGCTCCCTACTCCCACCCCTTAAAGGGACAGCCGTGGCCTGTATCCTAAGATCCTTTCTCTCAGCACCCGGTCTGAGATGGCTGACTCTGGGGGGTGGGGCATTGGAATCCATTCTCCAGACTGCAATGAGGCTGACCACCCCATCCTTTTTTCTGCAACTTACTGTGTCCTGGATGGCAGCCAGCTCCTGCAACCGAATGCTGGAAGGGCTCCTCACTGCTTGGTCATACACAAGATCATAGGTGTCCAACATGGCATCCTCCACCTGCACCAGAGCATTATGAGGAGGCCCCGAGTATGGGGGAAACTATGTGCGGCTCCCATCACATGACAGAGCTCCTGAGCAAAGGGTAGATCCTCATGTCCCAGCAGCCCCTTCTCCAGCAGGGGGAGCTCCCCAGGGCAGCACTCAACACCCTGGGCAGGTGGACAGAGTAGTTCCTGAACTTTGTTTGTGGTGCCTCTGCCCCAACCATGCCGTCCACATGGCCTTCCTGATCCATGGGGATCCTGAAGCAGAGGTTGAGCTGGGTTGCCAACTCTTAGAAATGATCTTGTGGGGTAAGAAGGGGGCCAGCGGGGGAAGTGTCCACCTTGCTACCATCGATCTGGATAGGGGCAATGGGGCTTGGTGAGAAGTCTCAGAAAGGCTTGTGTCTGGGACCTCAGATCCCCAAAGTTGTTTGTAGGGCTTTCCCCAGAAAGATCCTGGGCAGCTGGGCTTCATATAAGGTCTTTGGCTAGGGAAGCCACGGGTACCTGGAGTCAGTTCCAGTGGAAGAGGCCACGTAAGGGCAGAATGAGGAGGTGTGTGGCAGGGTTGTGTTCTCTGTATACTCAACAAGCTTAGACTTGGCAGTCTTTACCCTCCCAAGCACAATCTCCTTGCCTCTGTTCACTCTGCCCACCAAAATGGACTTTCCTCACCAAGAGAGTCCTTCAGAGACACTTGCCTCCTCCAGGAAAGTGTCCCTGAGTGCTCCACAGGTAGCTGGTCTACTGGCCCAGGACAGGCCCTCAATGCCTCCCTCCTGCCTCAGAGACCCTGAGTTTACTCTCCCCACTGTACAATGCAGTCATCTGTGAGGCACTGAGGGGTTCTCAGGCTGCCCCAAAGAGTTGGACATGAATGGAGGACCTGGGTCTGCTCTGGACACTCATGCCTGTCCTCCAGAAAGGGAGAAGCTGCCCTAGGGTCCTCACTGTGTTGGGGCCTGGACCCTCTGCAGGACTGAGAGACTCTAGGCCAGCCCTACACCAGCCTGGAAACCCCAGTGGGAGCCATATAACTCTCCTGTGCCAAATGATGCTCCTGACACTGATGAATCTCTCTCCATTGATGGCTGAAGTCAGACATCCCCATGAGTCATCCCTAACTCAGCCACCTCTGTCTTCCCCTGCCCCCTGAGGACAGGTGCCAGGCTGGCCTCAGCTACTTGCCAGCCCAGGCAGATGGCCTCTCCCTGCTGCAGCTTCCTTGAGTGTGAAAGGGGAACTGAGTCCCACTGGGCCACTCTGTCTTCTTGGGAGGGCTGGGCCCTCGTAAAGCTGGCTTGGGGTGAGCAGTGCAGGTCCCCCATCCTTGACTGCGACAACTTTGTTTTCCCTGATGGTCCCTGCCATGTCCCAGAGAGGACCAACATTCTCCTGAGCACTGCACCAGCTCTCCTTATCCCTGTAGGACAGTAGGGACAATGTCAGCTCTAGAGGCTGAGGTGCTTGCTTGGCCTGGCTGCCAAGTGGCTCTCCACGACTGAGGATGCAGGATCCTGTCTCAGAGACAACAGCCTGTCCTTGGGGACCCTGTGTGGCCAAACTGGGCTCTCCCTGCAGGGCCCAGCACTTGGATGGTATTTCAAATCAAACTTTGTCCCTGTTATAGAGTTCAAAGAGCTCTGTTGGAGACTGAGGACCATGCTTCTCATAAGAAAAGGGCATGGGCTAGTGGCCTCCTTCCTAGCCAGTGCCAGGGTTCCAAGATTCAACTGCTAGTTATTTGTAGGTCATTCCCTGGAAGAATTTGGAACCACAGATCTAGGGAGGTCTCTTGGTGCAGAACTCTAGTTCATCAGACAGTGTGCTTTCCAGGCAGCTGCAGAATGGTGTCCAGGGCATCCCCAGGACTTGTCCCCAAGCTCAGGTCATTCCTGATGCCTGCCATGGCTTGGTCACTCTGCCACCCCCCACCCATAGTGCTGGTTCAGAGTGGCACAGATCAGTCCTGGGGCCTGGGGAAGGACCTCATGAGGAGCTACAGGTGGTCTGATGATTAGCCTAGGGCCTCAAGGATATGCCTGATCCGAGGCTGCCCCTCACTCCCTGCGCTTATCCTGGCATGAATTATTAAACAGGCAAAGCAATCCATTCTCCCTGATGCAGACTTGAAGTCTCGCCTGGGAATGGCAGGGGAACTGCAGCAAATGGCCCTCAGGCCGCAGTGAGAGTGTAATTAATAGCCCTCACACTCTGTATTCATCTCACGGCAGCCTGGTCTGCATCACCGCCCTGGCCAGCACTGGGGCTCCTGCCAAGGCCCCAGCATCCCAGGAAGTGGCAGCCAGTGAAGCCTGTGAGTGGAGGCTCTTGGGGGCTGGGTGAGGAGCTCCCTACTCCACCCTGGGTTGGAGTCTGTGTCTTCCAGGATGGATGAGGCCTCTCTTCCCTTATCCTCAGGCCTCCCATCTGTATAGTGGCTCAGATAACTCATCTGGATCCCTTGTTTCTGTATATCTGAGGGTCCCTGGTGAGGTGCATGAGGAAAATGCATGGGCTGAATTGGCCTGGCTGCCACCCTCTGCTACCACCTCAGCTTTACCAGATTGTAGAGTTTCTCCTTTTCCCTCTTGAGGGGCTGCCACTGGAGGTTGTAAATAGGCCCAGGGCTGAAACCCTTTTGGCTCTGTCCAGCCCCTTGGCTGAGTGGACACAGGATGGAAGCCTCCTGCTCAGGACTGTACCCTGGTGCCAAATACAAAGTCATCTAAACCCAGGACAGCTCTGAACTAATATTATATTATGGAAGACCCACCTAGTCTGGTGGCAGTGAGTGTATCAGAGGTGCAGAGAGCGGGAAGGGATATCGAATGCAAGTCTTACTAATCCTTTGCCCACTGGTTCATGTCCACCTAGTAGCTGCCCCTTGCACAAGACTCCTGACGTGCCTTTCACAGACAAGGAAAGTGAAGCCCAGGGAACTAACCAAGGGTGTCCTGCAGACCTATGACTTCAAAGGCAGAGCTCTTTCACTCACGCCATCCCTCTGCCCGAAAGGCCTAGACATCCACACATGGACTATGCTAGAAACTAAAACCCACAGAAGAGGACGGTATTTATCCCCACTCACCCCCCAAAACAACCATGGAGCCTAGAAAGAAGCCACCACCCACCTGGGGTCACAGGAGGCCTGGAGAACTGTTCTGAGGGCCATGATGGGGCATATGCAGGATGAGGACATTTGATAATGTGGGGATGGAGTGCGGGGCTGAAGCAGGCTGGAGAGGAGTCCCGGCGGGAGCCATCCACATTTCGTACCCTCCCCTTCCCAGTGAGCAGGCCCCAGCTGGGTTCTGTCCTGTGGCCCCTGCACGGCCCCCTTCCCTCCAGAACGATGAGTCCCAGACTCAGTGTATAAACACACAGCTTCAGAGATTGGGAGCATGGGCTGCCTAGGCCCCAGCAGGCCCTGGGGTACCTGGCAACCGTCTTGACAGAGGCCACCCAGGCGGTGACCCAGACCTCCAACCCACTGGACCACCCCTCAGTGGACAGGAAATGTGACGCCAAAATGCTGGCCTGGCCTGCCTCGTTCCTAGAGAGACTGCTGAACACCCCTCCCCCAAACCACGGAGGCTGAGGGCTGGACCCCGTTGCCAGATCCTTCTGGGCTGGAGGAAAAGCCATTTTCCCTTTCAGCCTTGGTGTGGGGGGTGGAGTAGCACTTTGGGGAGATCCTTGGGCAGAGAGGGGAGAAGAGGCCGCCACGCTGGGCAAAGATCCTGCAGCCCCCTCTCATCTTGGCACTGTCAAGGTGACCTGAAAAGGCCTGAGTCCCTCCATCTGCACACCGTGGGAGTGGCACAGCTTCTCAAGGCCTGCCAATGTGGTCACTGTCAGCATGAAGTCACACACCTTGACTTCGCAGGACAGGCTAGCCAGTTATCTGCCCAGCCACCGTCTGGAGCCTGTGTCTTGTGTGACCACTGCTGTGTTTGGGGGTGATGCCCAGGCAACTGGACTCTTAATATATGGAGGTTACAGGCTCCTGGTACCAGCTGGGCTTTTCTACTGGTCCTGAGGTTTTCAGGGCTGCCCTGACCTTTGTCCTAGTCTGGGCTCTCAGAAGGGTAGGCTGGTGCCTGAGTTCTGTCACTAGTGTCTCCACGGCGGGGAATCAGGGAGAACTTCCCTCCTCTCCAACCCACTGGCCTTTGAGCAAGAAACCCTAGGACTCTTCCTCTGAAAGTCACCGTGCCAGCCCTAGGTCCGGGCAAGTCAATGCTTAGGCAGGAAGGACGCCATCTCATGAATGAGGCAGAGCCGCACTTTCCAGGTTTGAGTCAGGATGGTAGTTTCACTTTGCATGTTTTCTAGAACCCTCTACCCTTCCAGTCTCTCCCAAGCAGGGCCTTCCTTTTCCCTCCTCATTGCCTCCCTGAGCTCCCAGGAGAATCTTCCAGTGGAGAGGGTAGGCTGAAAGGGCCTCAGAGAAAAGAGGGGGCCGCAGCTGTGTTTCCCGCCCCTCCCCAGGGAGCTGCCCAGGAGAGGACCCCAGCCTCTGCACTGCCTGCCCTGCCCTCGTCTTGCGCTCCCTCCACCATGCACACGCACACACCAGAGGGACCTCCTCAGCCTTTGCTCCTTGCTGGAGACCCTGGCACTCACCTGGGTGGGGTTGCGAAACCGCCAATAGGCCACCTGCAGTAGGGCACAGAACACGAGGACAAAGCACAGGAAGCCCTGGGGATGGAGGGAGACACTAGGTAAGTGTTCTATGGGTGGGTGGGCAGTGCACAAGGAAGGCCACACTCCCAGTGGGATTTGGGTGAAGTATGGATTTCAGCCCCGCTCCCTACTGTAGAGGGGAGACCTGAGGTGGCAAGGAGACCTTGCGTGGCTGGCCTCTTTCCCATCCCTTCTGGCCCTTTCTGGGAATTCTTCTTATCCTTTTTTCTGGCTCTTGAGGACATCAAGCACAGTATCACAGTCCCTGATGGACATTACAGACTCTTGTTTTGAAAATGCACCTTATCACATGCCCCCATGCTTTTGTGGACAGTTTCAGAGGGCCATCCCATCTAAGAATCTTGGGTACCCTCCTCCTGCCCATCTGGTTGCCTAGGATCTGGGTTTTTCCCATCTCCTGGGGTTCCAGATCATGGACCCAGGCACTGCCTGTACAGGCCCACTGGGTGCGTGGTACCCCTCCTGTGACTGTCTAGCCTTCAGCATCAGCCCTCTTCCCACCCCTCAGTATCACCACTGTGTTGACGTGTGCTATTAGGACTGTCCGTAGCCTGGTGGCTATGGCCAGGCTTTTAAGCCAAAAGTCTCACTCAAGGGAATGGAGGACAGGTGGCTGGAGACATCTGTGGATGTAGAGGGACCCACAGAAAGAGCTGACACCACCCCACCAACCCCAAACAGCACAGTTCTGCAGAAGAGACTCCTCCCCACAGTCCTTGTAGTTTGCCCCGGAGTCTGAAAGGCCCTGTTTGGGGGCTAGCCCTGGACCTGCTTGCTCCTTCCTCCCAGCCCTCCTCTCTTTTCTTTTATTCTTTCTCTCCTTCCCATCTTCCTTCTCTCTTTCCTTTCATCCTGTTCCCCTCTTCCTCCTGCCCCTCCTCCTCCCCTCCTTTTCCTCTCTTTTCTTTCTCCCCTCCTTCCTCCTCTTCGCTTTTCCTCCTCTACCTCGCCCCCCCACCCCACCCCCAGGCCATGATCCCCATCTGGAAACCATCACTCACTCAGTTTTGCCTCCCAGGCTCAAGGCCATGAGCCAGCTCAGAAAAACCAGTATTTTCCAGAAACCATTTCATTCCTTAGGAGAAAGCATCCACCCCCACCCCCAGTGAAGGTTTTGGGTAGTGGACAGGCCCACTCAGCCTTGCCAAGGCCTCCACAGTGCAGACAGAGACTGCTGTAAGGGGCCAGGAAACCACGGGCCTTTTCTTTTCCTCATCTTAAATGAACATAAGGAAATAAATCCATAGACAATTGGAATCAGCTTCCTTGGGCTGCTACGGCCAGCTTGGCTGTCCTGGGCCAGCTCTCACTGTCATTTCCTGTGCTGAGCCGTAGGAGGCGGGGGCAGGCAGGGGCAGGAAGAGGACAGCTGGGCACCAGGCAAGATGGAAAAAAAAAATTCCACTCCCTCCTCCCCACGCTCCAGTCCCCTTCACATGTGCTTACACACGCAGACATGCCAGATGCAACATGGAGACAGCCACACTTGAGCTACAGTTAGGGCACATGAAGGCAAGCAACAAAGGTAGTGCACACACACACACACACACACACAGGCACAGGCACACAGGCACACACATGCAGCTCAGTGGAGCATGTGTCTGGGTGATCTCCCAGTGTCCCTATGGTGACTATGGCTGAGTGCAGGGACTCAGGAGGGTGTTAGGAGCCCATAAGGGCTTAGAGTAGCCAGCCTTAGGAGCCTACCCTGTGCATTTGGCTGGGGGATTCCAGGCTTTTCCTACAAGTGAACCTACGTAATGGTCACCTAAACCCTGAATCTGGCTAGAGAGGCAGAACTGAAATCTCAGGTGCTCCCTGATGTACTTGCCCACAGATCAAATGCTGAGCACAGGCCTGGGGAAGGTCTGGCATGGCTGAGCTGCACAGGTCTGGTGTGGTCTTCTGCCTTCTGTCCCGTCGGCTCTAGCCCAGCTCTCTAGTGCCCCCTGGTGGCTCATGCTGCAGCCTACGTGCGGAACAGGTCCAGACCCTAGGTCTAGCAGGCTTTCAGCCCTGTTTTGGCCGGAGCGTCCTTCCACAGAGCACACACCCTTAGAGGGTAAGGGCACAGTCCACCAGCCCTGTCACCCTCTCACTGGGGTCTTTCTCTCAGCCCAAATTCCAGACCGTATAGGCCTAGGTTTTAGTCTCACCCAGGAAGTAAAGCTCTCAGGACAGGCTCCCTAGGGTCTCTGACCTCATGAACCACTCTCGCAGAGCATGCTGGGGTAGGTCAGTATACAGGAGCAATGATCTGCCGGGGAATGTGGGAGCCCAGATAACCAAGAGGAGCTGCCCCGACTCAGGTGAAAGGAGAGGGCCCAGTGGGGCAGGGGCAAGAAGGGTGGCCAAGGGGAGGCGAGGCTGGAAGGTGGAGTGTGGGGTGACCAATGAGGCCGGTGGAGACCAAGCTAGAGGCCCATATAGAGGGAGAGATATTGTAGCAAGCTTCACAGAGCCATTGCTATGGCGTTGAGGTCTCAGGACTATGAAATCCTGGGGTATAGGAGAGCCCTTCAGTAGTTGGAAAGGGGATCAGGGTTGGAGGGCTCCAAAGAGGCTGCTTCCCCGACCCTCCTTGGTCTCCTCCCAAAGGGAAGTGAACCTCACCCAAACCATGTCCCCAGAGACTGTTGGGTAATTGAATTGGGTGTTCCCAGTGTGTTTAGGGGTGGTTCCCAGGCCTGAGAAGGCCAACTCTGCCTTTCAGGGCTCTGGTAAGATCCTTAACAGGTATAAGGAAGATGGAGTGAAGTGGAGGGCCTGAACGGCTCGGTAGGGAGGTCACAGCTGTGCCAGGTGGAGGGAACTAGCGGGGTGGAGGGGCAAGGATTTGAAAGAACTCACCCCAGCCATGAGGCCCTGAGCCTCCTTCACGGCGGCTGTGGTGCTCAGGGAGGCCCCCAGGATCAGCAGACCTGCCAGGCTAATCCCCACATAGAAAGCTGCGTAGGAAGAGAGAGAGGAGGCGGGTCGGGGGTGCCGGGAGGCCTGATGCACACAGCCTGCACCTGAGCTCCATCTTGGGTGTCATGGGTGCTGCACTTACGGGGCAGCTCTGAGTGGGCCTCCTTTCCCCTTCCAACGGGGATGTTCCTCCCATTGCCCAACAAGCTCTTTCTTCCCAAGGGAAGGCGGGTGGAACCAAGTGCAAAGTGGGCCTGCTTCCCCCACTCCCCACCACTTTTCATGCTGCCCTCCCTGCCTAGGGATTATTTTTAAGCCGCATCCTCATGCCCTCATAACAGGTGGCTTGTGGAGCTGTGGCCTTATCAGACCAGGCCCAGGCCTCAGGCTTCCTGCACTGGGGAGGCTCAGAGCTTTGGGAGACAGGAGACTGGGGGCTGGGTTCACCAGGCCCACACTTAGTTTCTTCTACTCTTGCCTACAGGGCAGCCACCTTCCTGGGCTGCTCGTGCCTGAGATTAAAGCCGCTTTCCTTACTCTCTGGGAGGGGCCTCTAGGCAGGCTCTGGCCTTTTCTTGGCATTCTCTGCCCTCTGAACATTGTGTATTTCACTGCTGAGCCCCACAGGCCCTGGTTCAGACAGCCCTTGTCACAGCCAAATTCTGAAAGCGAGAATCTTGGATCTGATGTGACTGGAACAACCGTGCTGTCCCATGCTCCCAGGGCATCGCCAGCCTAGGGCCGGAACACCAGCCACGGTCCAGACCCCAAGCTGTGTTCAGTGGAGGCAGGATGCCAGGGCTGTCTTTCCCTGCCTGGAGCCCCTGGTTCTTCCCAGCCAGCTCCTCTGGTCACCTAGAGCCCAGTATCTGGGACCTCACGCCCAGTCCACACCTGCTCCATCCACCTCTGGTCTGCACAGCCCTGACCACACTTACCCCAGTGGTGCACGGCATCATACGGGTTCCTCTCCAAGGACACCTGGCTGATGATGGCAAAGTGTTCTCCGAAGTAATTGAGAACTTCCATGGTGGCCACGGAGAAGCCCAGCAGCTGTGGGTGGGGCAGCCAGACTGTGAGCACCGCCACAGAGTCCCCTCCCCGCACCAATGGCAGCATTTGGGCTCCCAGAGCCCAAATCAGGCCCACTCCAGGGTCCTGGTCTCAAGAAGCAGGCCAGCTGCAGGAAGTTCTGGGTATTTCTGAGGGATGTTCTCAATGAAGTCTTTGCCCCAGATACCTCCCTCCCACACACATAACATAGACACACACAGATACTAACACGCAGGTCTACACACAGAGCCAGTTCCCTCAGGGACTCAGAACCTTGCATCAATCTGCCTGAAGCACCCTGCAGCCCCGGACCTTCCCCAGCACAGTGGGAGTGTCCTCTATGGCAGGAAAAGACCTAAGAGCACTGGAGCCCAGGCAGCTAGCACCCCTTCCCTGTCTACCTCCTCTCCACCCTGGATCACCTCCATTCAAGGACCCAGGCCCAACCCAGGCTTCTCAAAGCCCTGAATTGCTGCTCAGAAGGGTGGACACTGCTGGTAGGCACTTTGCCCAGATGTACACAGCCTGCCGGACCCACAGCCAGGGACCCTGGGCCAAGTCTGCAGGGCACATGCTGTGTGCATGTGGAGGGATGACCCCCTACCCCCACCCTCCTGTCCATCCTGCTTGTTACCATGACAAAGAAGCTGGTGGCCAGCATCTGGCACTTGGCAGCCCTGACCCGACTCCCAGGCCTCATGGTGGACTCCTCTCCTCTGCTCTCCTCTCCTCTCCTCTCCTCTCTGTTCTGCCCCTCCCCTCTCCGCCCCTCCCTTCCCATCCCCTCCCCTGCCTTTTCTTCTCTTCACTACTGCGGTTTCCTGCTGGGTAGGGGCCTCTGACCACAGTTGCCTGCCCAGGAGGGAGGCTGTGTCCACCCATCTGTCAACATAACCCCCACAATAGAGTGCCTGGGTGCCCCGGAAGAAGGGCAGGCAGGAAGGGGAGGGCCAGTGAGTCTGGGGCCAGCTCCTGCACCTCTGCTACCCAAGCCTGGCCCAAGACAGCAGGGCACTTGCTGATATGGGAGGCCTCCCTGGTGGGTGTGGCTTTGTTCCTGCTGTGGCCAGGCCAGGACTAGCACGTGGGACAAGGCAGGGTGGGGCTGGGCAAGGTAGAGGGTGTCTGGGGAAGGGTGAGCTCCCTGCCATGGGATGTGAGTGTGGGGGGGAAGACTGCACCCTAGAAGCCCTGCTGGGAACTAATCCTTGGAGGAATTTGGAAGACAGGGCCCAATTTGATACCATTAGTTCTTTGAAGTGTTGTGTGACAGCTACACTTTTGTTTTGTTTTGTTTTGCTTTATTTTTTACAGACAAGACCTTGCTATATAATTCAGGCTGGCCTTGAACTCACCACGTAGCCCCGGCTGGCCTTGAATTTGTGGTGATCCTCCTGCCTCGGCCTCCTGAGTGTTGGGATTACAGGCTTGTGCCCAGCTTTACAGCTACTTTTGAAAAGGTGACTTGGTTTTCAGTGTCTTCAGGGCACCAATGGGGAGTCTAAGCAGAGTATACTTGTGGGAGGGCTGGGTCTCACTCATACCATGTGGGACTCCCTTGTCACCAAGTGGTGTAAACAACGGACAAGGGCAGCCTGGCAACCCCAAACCATGTGGGTCACATCAAGTAGACCGTTAGGGGCCAAGGTGAACCTTAACGTGCATCAGTGTGCTATGATTGAATCTGGGTTAGTTCGAACTGCCAAGTGCTGACCCCTGGTGGCTCACATATTCTCTGCTCTTTTTCCATATCTATGTGAGGTGCTAGACATAAGGGGACCTGGGGGCACAGAGAGCTGTGGGTATGGTGACCCCCTCAGCCTTCTAGAAGCCAGAAGAACAGGGGTCTGTGCTGACCAGAAGTTCCTACTAGCCATCGGCACTGCTTTTGGGAGGGCAGACCAGGCTGGTCACCAGCTTGGGAAAGCTGTCACTATTTATAGAGCTTTGCTATGGCCCCTTCTTCCTTTCCTTTAACTAAGAATTGGGACAATGGGACCTCTCATCATTCCCAGCCCCCCAGGTAGCCCTCTACAGCTCTTGTCGCTTGGACCTTCACCACATGGCTCTAGGTGGAGGCCCTGGGCCCAAACCAGGCATGGCCCAGGCGAGGGTCCAGGTGCAAAAGGAAAGTCTGCAGTGTGTGAGGCCCAGGGACTGTTCAGGGCCAGTCCACTCACTTTTGTCTCCATTGGAGATAAGCCGTCACTTCTGTGTCTTGCTCGTTCCTGGAACTGTCTGCCTCTAGCTTCACTGAGAAAACGCAGTCCTGGTCAGCCTCCAGGAAGTAGCCTGGACGCAGCACAGCCTCTGGACTGAATGTGGAGAGCTTTGAGTGGTGCCAGGCACCCTGCACTGGTGGTCTCACTGTGTCTTCTAACGGTGGCCAGAGCACCAGCTTAGGCCCTCCAGAACAGAGGTCTGACCAGTCCTCTTCCCTGGGCCCCAGAGCAGGGCCAGGTAGCTGGGGCGTTGCAGGGACACCACCTTTGTTCTGGTGGAGCCCCTTCAAGAGGAAGGGGCAGGCTGAGGAAGCTGTTGCCCACTTTCCACCTGCCCAACTTCTCTGGATATCCTGGGGGCTGCCCACTTGCTGTAGAGGGTAGCACTGGTCCATGGGATCTCGGAAGGAGCTTCAAAGCAGAAGGTTTAACCCCATGAGCTGGCCCAGGGGACAACCCCCCCCCACAGCTCCTATCAGCCCATGAACTCTGTCCAGGGTCAGGCGCCACCACAAGTGGCTTGTCCTCCTTCTGCCTTTACATTCAAGGTGTCAGACTGCGTGTATTGGCATTCCTTCACCTAATAGTTAACTGATTAATTAAAAATAGTTTTGTAACATGAGCCAACCAAAACAGATCCTGTGACCAAAGCTGGAAAAATTTTGAGCAACAACAATAAAAATGGCATAGTATTAGATTATAATCTACCACATTAAAAATCTGTGAGGGCTGGGGATTTGGCTCAATGGTTCTGCCACCTGCCTCGCGAGCACAAGGGCCCGAGTTTGATTCCCAGTACCAAAAAACAAACAAACAAACATGCAAACAAAAACTTCTGTGAATCCATACCAATATAAACAACTGATTGAATAGTTAAATTAGTGAGTGTGGCCGTGTGTGGTGGTGCAAGCCTGTAATCCCAGCACTCGGGAGGCTGAGGCAGGAGGATCGCTGTGAATTTGAGACCAACCTGGACTACATAGTGAGTTCCAGGTCAGTCTCAACTACATAAATCTAAATCAACAAAAACTCTAAATAAATAAATAAATAAATAGGAAAACTTGACATGCAGAATTCCAAGTAAATTATGTAAATCCTCCACTCTCAAATTGGTGAGGTATAACTCTCCATGTCTTATGCATGGTTGTGAGTAGCCAATTCTTTCCTGAAAAGGACACACAGTCACTATACAACGGAGCTGTCACACACACACCCAGCTAGAAGATCAAGGCAATGTCACAGTGAGGAATTGTGACAGCGGGGACCCATGGTGCGAGGTGATGTGAAGCCCCAGTCTAACCCCGAGAAAAACACCAGAAAGGTCTCAGCTCAGGGACCCCCAGAGTGCAACCTCAAAATTATCCAGGACTGAATGAATTTCTTCAAGGGCATGAAGGTAGCCTCATCAGCTGGCTGGTTATGAAAGTCAATTTTGGTTCATCTATCATCGTGAAATGTTAGGCTTCTCAGAAGGAGTTTAAAAGGTAGAGGGATCATTCCACCCCCAAATCTGCATTTCTATTTATTTCTTTACTTAGGGTTTTTTTTTTCTTTTTTAGACTGGGTCTCCCTATGTAGCCTAGGCTGGCATCGAATTTACAGGGATCCTCCTGCCTCAGCCTGTCAAGTGCCAGAATCACAGTCATGCGCCACCATGACTATCCAATCACTTACTAATTTACATAAACAATTTATCTCAGCATTTGCATGCATTAAAAACAAGGGCCCCAGATGAGCAGTTCTGAGGTGGAGGACAAAAACCAAAGAAAAATGAGAATGAACTTACTGAACCTTGTTTCTTTCAAGAAATAATATAAATGGATAGTTAGGGTATCATTAATATAAATATGGATGTACTTTTTTTTTTAATTTTATTGAGTTGATTGGTACATTTTAGGGATACAGTACAGTTACATTCATTGTTGGGATAATGTACCTCTACATGGCAAGTCTTGATTCTCATTTTTTCCCCTTACCTCTGCCCTCCCTTCACCCCCTCCTCCCCTCCCCATCTACAAACACTTTATTTTCATCTTTTCATTCTCTCACATTTTTTTCTTTTCCCTTTTTGTTCTTCCCCTACGCATCACACCTTCCCTACACCTTTAG